GGCAATATAGGTATATACTAAGTTTCAGTCTTTCTAGTGTTAAATGATGAAGAATATAATATCAAAATATATGTATAGCCACCGATCAGGACTGGTCTTGGTCAATACATATATTAGAAAAGGTGGAATTCTAGAATCACTCATCATTCGAGCTCGCAGCATGAATAAAGTAATAAAAGAGCAAAAAAAAGAAAGAATAGATAAAACTCGTGGCATTTCGAAGAATCTGTGGAGATAACTCGCGGCCTTATTGTTGAACCGGATATTAACGCGTGCATTATTTGTGTTTCAGGTGATGGAGGACAATATTTCCGAGTCAGGCCAAGAAACAGCTCGGTTCTCGAGGGTGGCGACGTTACGATACCCTGCGAGGTTGGAAACAGATTTGGCATTGTGCAGTGGGTGAAGGATGGCTTCGCTTACGTCATACAACCGAGTAAGTGCAATCGATCTCGCCGCTGTTTGTCCGCGTTTACCTCGAGACACAATGTGACGTTGGCATCGGAGCAAAAATCATAACAAGAGAATTGAAACTTTTGTCAGCCTCGATTCATGAAATCATATAATTGTTGATAGAGAAAATTTGTACGAGTTTGATAAAATGGGAAATTTCACTTTTCAATTTAGCTGTTTTAATTAAATATAACAATTGATCGTTTCTGTCGATTGCAACTTTTCTGTCCGCTGCCAATGAAACGCAGATGCGGTGAGACCGGCAATAAAATCTTGGGAACATTGTTAGCCTGTGTCTATATTACAGAATCTTCGGAACTTCGTTTCGGTAACTTCATTTCGACGTTCATTAAAACGAGCCATTAAGTAACGGTGACGTAAATAGAACAGAGCTATCTTAACGTTCCAGCGCGGTCCGTTCGATCAATTTTTCCTTTAAACAATTTAATCTTCTACTACTAGCAACGTGTCGCGTCGTGTAATCGCTTTTTGAAACTTTTACAAAAGGCTCTCCCCTTCTCAGTGTCGCGATTCGTAGGTTTCGTTGAAATTCCTCTCGCGTTTTCATAGTGTAGTCGTAATTAGCCCGATTATCGAAATCCTTTCTTAACCAGCGTTTCGTTCCACAGCTTGTCAACGCTGTGACCTAAATTTTTCGAAAAGCTTCTTAACACTCATTAGGAGAATTCAGAGTACTCGACTATTCGTGAGTTGAAATTATTATGAGATCAAATCATTTATCATTAAATATACAAAATAAGATTTTTGCCAGTTGGTTAAATATTTTTTTACGTCTGCTCATTAAGTTCGATTGGCCAAGTCAATCTTTGAAGGATAAAGTCTGAAGATTGACCGAAGCAGCCGTGAAACCCGTTTCATAGGACGTATCGATTCTGCATACATCACCGCTTTTATCAAAAAGCACTGGCGTGGTAGCAGCATACGTCTTCGACCTTTATAGGAGCTTGCGCTCGTTTAGCTCACGATGTACCCTTGAGTTACGATACGACCTTAATGCGTGGTAGTTTAGAGTCTGCTTTCTCCAGGGTCCGCGAGATAGACATTGACAAATTGAAATATTCCGTAGAGTAAATAAGATAGATTCTAAAAAGATCGAGATCCTTAAAAAAGATGTATGTGTCAAAAATGAAATTAGAGAAAACTGTTATTCAGTTTAACACTAGATTGCCCAAGGAAGTCATTTTGACTGCTTTTGGCCACATGTACAAATAATAATGCATAAATTATTTT